TGCAATGATGTAAAGTAATTAGCCTCCAACTAATAAAAATAAGTGAAAAAAAAAAAAAAAAGAAAATGGAACCCCAGTTATGTGGATTTAGCACACCACACTGTCCTTTTCATTCCAGGGAGTATGCCTGGTTATTACGAAGTGGTTATTGTTACGAGTGGTTATTACGGATAGAAATAAACTTACTTTTAGACTATTTAACTATAAGATTGTCTATTTTCACTTGTTAATTCTTATAAGTTTATTACTTGTACTCACTTCTTTTTCCTGCCTAGGTGGTAAATGGTTGTACTTATCAATTGTTTTGCTATCTCATTTGTTAAAAACTATTGCTTATGAATAATTCTTGTAGCTTTGAAGCATTTCAGGATTCATGCTTATTGGGGGATAGAAACAGTATTTATCAGAATATTGATAAGAATGATATTCAGTGGAAATCAAATATTTTTTAATAATTCCAGAGAAAAGTTAAATTGGGTCTTTACAACTTTGTCTCCAGGAATTATAGTATAAAATATAGACATTTCAGATAGAAAACAATAGTTAGGGAGACTTTGGATGGCATCTGAGCCTTCACATTGCTTGAATATAGTTTACTTAGAAACACAGTGAATGCACGGAAAGCATATGCAGAGTTGCTCTTCCATGTAATGGGACATGGTCATGTTTTTTGATCATGTGCATTCTCAGATTTGACTGTGTGAAACTGAATTGGAACAATTAGGGTTATAAAGAAAGCTATTACTTTTAAAATTGTTTCTCAAAAACAAATATTGCATCACAAAAGTGATTACATCTCTTTTTTAAAAAGACTGTGGTTTCTTTTGAAGAAATAATAAAAAACGAAAATATGACTTGGAACTCTGAATGCTGCCTTCTATATCTCTCTATGGAGAAAATATGCTTATAGACTATTTTGAAGAAGTTTATTTGATGACTTGTGTTACCATACAGAAAGTAATAAAAACAAATACTTTAGTCCTCATAGAAACTCTGTCATTCTTTGATTTCCTTTTTCCCAGTTGTGTGATTCAGTTGTGTAACATCCTCATTGTACAGATGATATAACTGAAGCTTAGGAAAGGCCACTGACACCCCAATAGTAGCTTGGTAAATGCCAAACCCACACCCCATCAGGCTCCAGAATCCACACTTGGACCTCAAGTTTTCAATCCAGTAAGGAGAGATCTCATAATGGTGAGATGAGAAAGATGTGCCTAAGTGGGGAGCATCTGGCCAGACTTAGAAAGAAAGCTGTGCTGGGGTGAGGTGGAAGCTGGGAAAGGAGCAGGCTTGCCAAGTTAAGCAGTTGATGGAAAGAATCCTTACTTGCCCTCAAACAGCTTTGTGACTTTGAGGAGGTTTCTTAGACCCCAGGAACCCCTTTATTTAAAGGGGGAAATGATGCAGGCTCCATCTCCACAACAGGCTGTCACCCTTGAGAAACTGTCATGTCAACATTTGCATTAGCACAGCTGACTATGGATTGTGGATGGTCCCCATCTTCTGGAATTTTCTGCAAAAATGTCCCAGTAATAATCATCTCCCAGTAATATCTCAACGGTTTGTACCTATAATGCACACACTCACTATGGGAGATTCTTTGTTCTTCTTTGTGCCATGGATCCTTCTGGCACTTTGCTGAAGCTGTGACCTCTTCAGAGCAATGCTTGTGAAATGTCTAAAATGTATACATCTGGTTACAAAGTAAATAGTTATATTGAGATGCTGATATCAATATATTAGAAATTATACTATGTCTTCTTAATTATTAGAGCATTAAATAACAAGATCTAATGGTGATTTTTTTTTCAAGTGGTGATTTTAGTAAATGCTGTTATTTAGAAGTAAGGAAGACCATACACAATATTTCTAGGTATCTGTAATTTACGTTGGTAACAAATGCATAGCACTAGTGAATACAGTCTCCTTTGTCTACATTTGTGATTGAGGAATATGCTAAAATTTAGCTAGAGTTTAGTGAAAATGTAATTTTTTCTATTCATCTTAACAGACCTCCTAAATCACATCTATACTGCATGTTATTAAGAAACCTTGAACTCTGTGGTTCTATGAAAAAATCTCCTGGGCTTTTGATTGAACTTCTAATGAATCTTCAATTCAAACTAGAGAAAACCAATACATTAGAAATACTGTCTTCCTATTTGCAATCATGGTAGTCTGAGCTTATGTAGTTATTCTTTAATGTCTTTCAGTACAATTTTTATCATAATTTCCATAAGTGTCTTGCAAACTCTGTAAGATTCATTCTTAGGTATTTTGTATGTTTTATTACCATTTGCTATTCTACTTAGTTAATTTTCTAACTATGAATAAGTTTAGAAATGTAAAAAAGAAAAAAGGCACTAAATGTTCTTTAGAAAGTGCTATAAAATGCTATGAATGATTGCTTCTACTAAGCACATGGTAAGAAAATATGTGTAATAGTTGCTCAGCTGTGTCCGACTCTTTGTGACTCCATGGACTGTGGCCTTCCAAGTTCCTCTGTCCGTGGAATTCTCTAGGCAAGAATACTGGAAGAGGTGGCCATTCCCTTCTCCAGGTGATCTCAACCCAGGCATGGAACCCAGGTCTCCTGCATTGCAGACAGATTCTTTACCACCTGAGCCACCAGGGAAGCCCAGGAAATACATCGACCAGAATCCTCTTAATCAAGACAGGGGCCATTAGAGAGAAAATAACCTACTAGGTTAAGTTAGTTTTATTATTGCGATTCTCCTTGGGAATTAAAAATAGGGTACTTCTGGAGAAACTGACAAAGCTGTGATTTATCTTAATAAAAGACTTCTTATGGAGATCTTGAAACCTGTTGCCTGAAAGAAATGAGTTCTAAATATATTTCTTAAGCCTGGTGGCAAAGTTTCTAATGACAGAATTCATCTCCCATGCAGCTCAATGAATCCCTGGTTTTTTGTTTTTTTTTTTTTCATTTATTTTTATTAGTTGGAGGCTAATGACTTTACAAATTTTTTTGTCATACATTGACATGAATTAGCCATGGATTTACATGTATTCCCCATCCCGATCCCCCCTCCCACCTCCGTCTCGACCCGATCCCTTTGGCTCTTCCCAGCGCACCAGGTCCGAGTACTTGTCTCCTGCATCCAACCTGGGCTGGTGACCTCTTTCACCCTAGATTATATACATGTTTCGATGCTGTTCTCTTGAAACATCCCACCCGCGCCTTCTCCCACAGAGTCCAAAAGTCTGTTCTCTACATCTGTGTGTCTTTTTCTGTTTTGCATATAGGGTTATCATTACCATCTTTCTAAATTCCATATATATGTGTTAGTATCCTGTAATGGTCTTTATCTTTCTGGCTTACTTCAGTCTGTATAACGGGCTCCAGTTTCATCCATCTCTTTAGAACTGATTCAAATGAATTCTTTTTAATGGCTGAGTAAGATTCCATGGTGTATATGTACCACAGCTTCCTTATCCATTCATCTGCTGACGGGCATCTAGGTTGCTTCCATGTCCTGCCTATTATAAACAGTGCTGTGATGAACATTGGGGTGCACGTGTCTCTTTCAGATCTGGTTTCCTCGGCGTGTGTGCCCAGAAGTGGGATTGCTGGATCATATGGCAGTTCTTTTTCCAGTTTTTTAAGAAATCTCCACACTGTTTTCCATAGCGGCTGTACTAGTTTACATTCCCACCGACAGGGTAAGAGGGTTCCCTTTTCTCCACACCCTCTCCAGCGTTTATTGCTTGTAGACTTTTTGGATAGCAGCCATCCTGACTGGTGTGTAATGGTACCTCATTGTGGTTTTGATTTGCATTTCTCTGATAATGAGTGATGTTGAGCATCTTTTCATGTGTCTTTTAGCCATCTATATTTCTTCCTTGGAGAAACGTCTGTTTAGTTCTTTGGCCCATTTTTTGATTGGGTCATTTATTTTCTGGAGTTGAGCTGGAGGAGTTGCTTGTATATTTTTGAGATTAATCCTTTGTGTGTTGCTTCGTTTGCTGTTATTTTCTCCCAATCTGCAGGCTGTCTTTTCACCTTGCTTATAGTTTCTTTGTCGTGCAAAAGCTTTGAAGTTTCATTAGGTCCCATTTGTTTATTTTCGCTTTTGTTTCTAATACTCTGGGATCCTGCTGTGATTTATGTCGGAGAGTGTTTTGCCTGTGTTCTCCTCTAGGAGTTTCATAGTTTCTGGTCTTACGTTTAGATCTTTAATCCATTTTGAGTTTATTTCTGTGTATGGTGTTAGAAAGTGTTCTAGATTCATTCTTTTACAGGTGGTTGACCAGTTTTCCCAGCACCGCTTGTTAAAGAGGTTGTCTTTTTTTCCACTGTATAACCTTGCCTCCTTTGTCGAAGATAAGGTGACCATAGGTTCGTGAATTTATCTCTGAGCTTTCTGTTCTGTTCCATTGATCTATATTTCTGAATTTGTGCATATACTGTCTTGATGACTGTGGCTTTGTGGTATAGTCTGAAGTCAGGCAGGTTGATTCCTCCAGTTCCATTCTTCCTTCTCAAGATTCCTTTGGCTATTCGAGGTTTTTTGTATTTCCATAGAAATTGTGAAATTATTTGCTCTAGTTCTGTGAAAAAATACCGTTGGTAGCTTGATAGGGATTGCATTGAATCTATAGATTGCTTTGGGTAGTATAGCCGTTTTGACAATATTGAGAATCCCTGTTTTTAAACAACAGAATGAATCAAATCGTTGAGTGCAGCAGCTCTGAGGTTACTGTTACAGCTCACACTAAGGCAAGAAGGATCAAAGTAACTGTCTGTTTGTTTGCTTGTTTTTTTAGCAGTTGGTGAAAATCCAGTAGATGCTGTCTTAAATTTCCTTAGAACTCTTGAAGGAAGAGTTTTAAGGCCCTCAGGAAGGTGCTTTTCTTGGCGGGCGGCGTGGCGACGAGGGGGTCCTTGGTCGGGCGAAGGGGCGGGGCTGAGGCGCTCGGGTGGACCGCGTTGGTGGCTCCCGGTAGGTTTGGGCCCCGGGCAGGTGCCGGGCAGGATGGGCGCTCAGGGCCCCGGCTGCGCTCCGCCTATGCCCGAGGGAGGCTCAGAGGACCGAGGGCCGCGGTCCGCAGCAGGCCCGAATCAGACACCTCCGGGGCCACGTGGCCCTGAGCCACGAACGGGAGTGGGCAGGGGGGGGCGCCGACAGGGGGCGGGCCTGGAGAGGCCCAGGGCGGGAGGGCGCCGAGACCTCCGCGCCCCTCACCCCAACCCCAAGCCCAGGCATGCACGCCCGACCGGCCGCTCGGGATCCCGGAAACACTCCGGGCCCCCGGGCCGGGCCATGTTTGCTGGCCAGGGTTGCCGGTGTGCGGGGACACACCTTGCAGTCCAAGGGGATTGTTAAGAGTCTTCTCCAACACCACATTTGAAAAGAATCAATTTTTGGTGCTCAGCTTTCTTTATAGTCCAACTCTCACGTCCATACATTACCACTGGAAAAACCATAGCCTTAACCAGATAGCCCTTTGTTGGCAAAGTAACGTCTCTGCTTTTTAATATGCTGTCTAGTTTGGTCATAACTTTCCTTCCAAAGAGCAAGGGTCTTTTAATTTCATGGCTGCAATCACCATCCCCAGTGATTTTGGAGCCCAGAAAAATAAAGTCAGCCACTGTTTCCACTGTCTTCCCATCTATTTGCCATGAAATGATGGGACTGGATGCCATGATCTTCATTTCTGAATGTTGAGCTTTAAGCAAACTTTTTCACTCTCCTCTTTCACTTTCATCAAGAGGCTCTTCAGTTCTTCTTCACTTTCTGCCATAAGGATGGTGTCATCTGCATGTCTGAGGTTACTGATATTTCTCCCGGCAATCTTGATTCCAGCTTGTGCTTCTTCCAGCCCAGCATTTCTCATGATGTACTCTGCATATAAGTTAAATAAGCAGGGTGACAATGTACAGCCTTGATGTTCTCCTTTTCCTATCTGGAACCAGTCTGTTGTTCCATGGCCAGTTCTAGCTGTCGCTTACTGACCTGCATATAAGTGTCTCAAGAGGCAGGTCAGGTGGTCTGGTATGCCCGTCTCTTTCAGAATTTTCCACAGTTTATTGTGATCCACACAGTCAAAGGCTTTGGCATAGTCAATAAAGCAGAAATAGATGTTTTTCTGGAACTCTCTTGTTTTTTTGATGATCCAGCAAATGTTGGCAATTTGATCTCTGGTTCTTCTGCCTTTTCTAAAACCAGCTTGAACATCTGGAAGTTCACGGTTCACATATTGCTGAAGCCTGGCTTGGAGAATTTTGAGCATTACTTTGCTAGCATGTGGGATGAGTGCAATTGTGTGGTAGTTTGAGCATTCTTTGGCATTGCCTTTCTCTGGGATTGGAATGAAAACTGACCCTTTTCAGTCCTGTGTCCACTGCTGAGTTTTCCAAATTTGCTGACATATTGAGTGCAGCACTTTCACAGCATCATCTTTTAGGATTTGAAACAGCTCAACTGGAATTCCATCCCCTCCACCAGCTTTGTTTGTAGTGGTGCTTCCTAAGGCCCACTTGACTTCACATTCCAGGATGTCCGGCTCTAGGTGTATGTGAGTGATTCCACCATCATAATCAATTGGGTCATCAAGATTTTTTTGTACAGTTCTTCTGTGTATTCTTGCCACCTTTTCTTCATATCGTCTGCTTCTGTTTTATATATATATATATATATATATATATATATATATATATATATATATTTAACATGTTATATATATATACAATATATTAATATCTTCTGCTTCTTTTATATATATGTTATTTATATATACACCCTGAGAAAAAACAATTCTGAAAGCCCCATGGACCCCAATGTTCACTGCAGCACTATGTACAATAGCCAGGACATGGAAGCAACCTGGATGTCCATCAACAGATGAATGCGTAATGAAGATGTGTTCCATATATACAAGGGAATGTTAGCCATAAAAAGGAATGAATTTGAGTCAATTATAGTGAGGTCGATGAACCTAGAGCCTGTTATACAGAAAGAGAAACAAATATTGTATATTAAATCATGCATATGGAATCACGAAAAATGGTATTTATGAACCTATTTGCAGGGATGAAATGGAGATGCAGATGTACAGAATGGACTTGTGGACACAGTAGGGCATGGGGAGAGTGGGTCGAATGGGGAAAGTAGCATCGACATATTAATATACACACTATGCATGTATGCTCAGTCGTGTCTGACTCTTGACCACCCTAGAGACTGCAGCCCATCAGGCTCCTCTGTCATCATGTGTAAAATAGGCAGCCAGTGAGCGGTTGCTATATAACAGAGAGAATCCAACTTGGCACTCTCTGATGACCTAGAGGGGTGGGATGAAGGGAGGAGAGGAAGCTCAGGAGGGAGGGGATATATGTATAATTATAGCTGATTTGCATTGTTCTATGGCAGAAACCAACACAACATTATAAAGCAATTTTCCTTCAATTAAAAAATAAAGGAATATACCAAGAAGTCTTTATTATATTTAAAAAAATCAGATAATGATCCTTTACATAGAAAAAAGAATACATGAATGTGTGTTCATATTTAGAAGTCATGGATATTTTGAATGTTCTTTATACATATGTTGAAATTAATCTTCAAAAGGGTTACAGCACTGCATGAAAGTGTGCTTTTTACTACAAGAGCAGTTTAAACTTAGTTTTTCTTGTTTTCCAAAGTATGAAGTCTTGCTGCTCTAAATTTTAAAGACTTCTTTTTTCCCCCACATTGTAAATTCATGAGGAAAATACAGCTTGGATTTTGTATGTTATAGAGAGAAAAAGGCACTTGATATCACAAACAATATACAATTATAAAGGTTAATATTTCTCTATTTTATTACAGCATTTTTTCTTACAATAGATCTTAGGCTTAACCTAAAATTTAATAAACAAAAATTAAATGAAGAGTATATTTATCAAGCTTATCAATATAATAAGTTAATATCCCCAAAGTTATAGCCAGTACTGCCAGCAAAAATGCTCTTCTATGATTCTTTGGAAACAGAAAAACAAGAAATGTTTCCTAGACTGAATTAATCAAAATGATTTTGTAATTTTTCTTGTCAACTAGTGCAGATTACTAGCAACTATTTAAAACTAGCTGAAAAAAGTTTTAATAAACATAGCACTATGATTCTGAAAATTATATGACTTTTTAAAATTGTTTTTGTAAAAAAATAATAAGATTGTTTTTGTTTACACCTATAAGCCAGTTAGCTCAGTTGGTAAAGAATCTGCCTGCAATGCAGGACACCCCAGTTCAATTCCTGGGTCAGGATGATCTGCTGGAGAAGGGATAGGCTACCCACTCCCATATTCTTGGGCTTCCCTTGTGGCTCAGCTGGTAAAGAATCTGCCTGCAATATGGGAGACCTGGGTTCGATCCCTGGGTTGGGAAGATCCCCCAGAGAAGGGAAAGGCTACCCACTCCAGTATCTTGGCCTGAAGAATTCCATGGACTGTGTAGTCCAGGGCATCGCAAAGAGTCAGATGCGACTGAGTGACTTTCACTCACTTTATTATAAGCCAATTAATCTTAAAGGAAATCAACCCTGAATACTCATTGGAATGCCTGATGCTGAAGCTGAATTTCCAGTACGTTGACCACTTGATGCAAAAAGCTGACTCACTGGAAAAGAGCCTGATGCTGGGAAAGATTGAAGGCAGAAGAAGAAAAGGGTGACAGAGGATAAGATGGTTGGATGGCATCACCGACTCAGTGGAAATAAACTTGGGCAAACTCTGGGAGGTGGTGAGGGAAGCCTGAGGATCTCAGGGAAGCCTGGCACGCTGCAGTCTATGGTGTCACAAAGAGTTGGACACCATTTGGCGACTGAACGGTGACGATGATACATAAGTTAGAGAGTTTTTTACATAATCAAATCCCCATGGTCAACGTTGCCCGAGATCAAAATACATGAAATGAGCACTGGATGAGTGCCAGTCTTCAAAGAATTGTGAATCACCTAAAAGAAAAAAAAATGTGATTGTTCAGTCGGTGGTTTATCTTTCTCTTTTTCAACCCAGTGACTCAGTACAATGAATGCTCTGGCTGCACTCTTCATCTGCTTTTCAAAGAAATCGATTTAGGAAGCCCGACTCATGCAATGGTGTATCACATGCTACTAGCTCAGCTTCAGTTTGATAGAGAGATATGTATTTAACTGAACTTAATAAGTTTGACCACTTGGTTTGGCTATTGCTAAGCATGTTACTTTGATATTTATTCTTACAGTCTCCTCTTTTAAAAATGTTTCTAAAAATTACCATCAAGCACCATGAAAATAAAATTAACACCCATTATGAATTCTGTTTATAAGCCCAATTCCTTTCTGAAAGAGCAATAAAATAGTTGTCTTCTAAAAATAATTCAAAATGATCCCTTTCAAGAGTTTCCAATTTTTCATGGTTTATATTATTTATAATCTGATTACATATTATTTATTATATAAATAAAATAATTCTAGTTTCAATTATAGATACATTAAAACCCTTTACAGTCAAGTTTGGGAAAATGTTAAGTGTCAAAGCTGGATAATGAATATATAGGAGGTCTTTATACGCTATTCTTTTTATGCTGGAAACAATTTGCTATATAAAGTTAAAATTTTAAAAAATCTTCCAATAATGGTAGGGACACAACTTGAAATAAAAGAGATATAAAAGAAAAAAAAACTTTCACATAAATTAAGCTAACCTGTCTCCCATGGAGACAAGAAAAAATCCCTTAATCCTAGTTTTTTATTATCTTTGTTGAAATGATCTTATTCCACAAAGAATTTGAGGCAGCTCACTTAACTCCGATCATTGTAGTCAAGTTGATTATTTTGTGTCAAACATCTAATGTTAAATGATGGTGGTGGTATTTACTATATATTTACTTTTTGCCTACCTGAAAAAGCAATAGCAGTGTGGAACATAGGCATATTGTACACTGCAAAGAGCAAATTTGCCACTGGGCCTTGAGGTCAAGAGACGGGACATTTCATGAATAAGAGTATATTGTCAGCATTCAAAAACATATAAATGGCTAGGTATTTGAAAATTAATACTGGATTTTGTTGGGATTTATTGCTTTCTCCATTTTTGTGATCCTTTCTTATATTCTGTGTCCTTTTCCTAGTCATGTTAAATTTTACTTCTTATTAATCCAGTATGAATAGAGTGTACCAGCAACAGATTTCCAAATGTGCTGCTTTATACAAAGCAGCTTTGAAGGCTGAAAGTTGGCTGGGTCTGCTTTAACAGCATGCCTCTGAGACTAAATTTACAATTTTTCGGCATTCATTCTGAGGCAGACTGACTACGGCTTATGTAATGT